AAAGATGTACTGTTAATTATTATTACCAATACAATACAATTTATTGTAGCGTAAATGTACCAGTAATTTTAAGAGATTTTTTATTCTTGAATTGAAGCTTAATGTCACAGAATTTAAATTTATATTGAATAAAAAAGAAAGTGATGCATTTCGAGATGAATCGGATTGGGAATGGAGTAGGTGTTCGAAGAGGAGAGATTTGAAAGAGGATAGGATATTGATTTTGCGTGTCCAATATCTGAGAGTATTCAATTCCAGAGGGAGACAACTTGATTAAAAAGGATGTATCAAACGCAGCAGTTCGGTGAGGAGGAGGATAGAGGTCGGACACACAGGTGGGATCTGGTGGGACAGGATTGAAAGGAGCGTTTGAATTGTAGGACCTGTATAATATAGTAGGGTCATCGAGTTCTAATAGCCTGGTATAGGAAGGTAGCAAGGAAATTTTGACGGCTGTAGGACGGATAAAGCCACTTCAACTCGGTGTAAAACTGGCTAATATATAATATTGGTCCAGTTAGACTAATATAACCTTGTTATTTTGATATGTTAAAAGTGGAAATGACGCCAAACGTGATTTTGTAATCAAATCATGTTTTCAGTGGAATGCAGGCAGGTGTTCATAAGTTATTAGTGCCAGACTAAATAGACAATGTTTGCTGATCTCCAGATTGAAAAACATACCAATTCCGAAAATTTTCATAAATAAAAAAGTTATTGCTTACGATGAGATGAAGTTATATTATAGTTGTGATGGACCAAAAAATTCAAAAAGTTAACTCCCTCTCAAAATTAAGAGGTTACACGTTTCAGGATACCTAGAATTCGAAAAAAGAATTTAAAAAAATTTGTCCGTCCGCCGTCCGCGCATTATCTCCGAAACTACTGGACCAAATTTTTTCAAATTTTGATATAAAATCAGAAGTCACCCGAGGATGATCCTCCTTCATCGACATTACTATCCGCCTTTTACATTCAAAATGGCGTCCGAAAAACCTGGGTTGCTATAGACTGTAGTGCCTAAACGAATGTACCGATTTCAATGAAACTTCGCTAAAGTCATTTTCATGTTTTTTTAAAAGTTTGCGGAATTTCCTGATAAAAATAGAAAAAAAAAAAAAAAATTTCAGTTCTTTTCCCATTTTTATCAACAAATTAATTATTATTGCGATACTTTTCCTTTATTTTGTAAGTAGTAGTCTTATATTTGTCTAATTTGTATCAAACCGATTTTCAGGCACTAGGAAGTAATTATTGTATCTACTTTTTTTCTCTTGATTTCCTATATTATAAAGAATAATAGCTAAACAAGCCTTTTTAATTAAATGCATTATTATTAATGTACAATGTACGAGATCCACACTACCTGTTATCTCAACGTTAACTGAGCTAAAATGCACCACTATGATTGAGATGAAGTTATTTAGAAATTTTTTGGCTGATATTAATAATAATATGTTAAATGTTAGTAAAAAAAAAAAGAAAATATTTTAGCCAATTAAACTCTCCCGAAGATCATCCTGCAGAAGTGAAGTCCGTTGGCAGGACTTCAGGAAGTCTCCCCCCCCCCCTCTCAGTCCAGGCTGGCCAATCCAAGCGGTATATTTTAATTAAAGTTGGCCCCCTCCCAAAAGTCGGTAACCAATCACGTGATAAGGGAAGCAGGAAAAAGTCCTTCCACTTCTTACCCGCCAAATTGCTGGCCTAATGTAACGTGGGGGCTTCTTCATACGTGGCTTAAATGGGTTCTTCTAAACTTAACGTAAAGAAGGAATTAAGCTTAGTTTGAGCTAAATGTTTAAATGAATGGAAATGTTTATATTTCATTCATTGAATTTTTAAGAAATTTTTTATTAACATTGGGTGTGTTTGTTGATGAATGGATAGCTATATGAAGATGTTTGAATAATATATCTAGTCCTGTCATAAATATTGTTACAAAGAAATGCATACACATTTCAACAAAAAAATATTATTTTTTTTCAAAAACTTTATTAGAAAATAATGAAGAGAAGAATAGTTGGGGTGGTCAGTCAAAAAGGAAGGCAAAAATAAATGATAATATTTATTTTTACATATGCCGACGTTTCGACCTGAAGTTCAGGCCTTCGTCAGGGCTAAGAAAATAACCAGATAACAAGGTATGAGAAACATAAGTAGTGATGGTAAAAAAAAAATAATAAAAATTAAAATAAATAAATATAAAGTAAAATGAAATTGTTAGATGACTAAGAACTAAGAGATAAATAATAATAACCGTTGCAAAGTGTGGAATGATGAAGTAGGCATAATCAAAAAGGGTGACATAAGTGTTACAATGGTAATCTTACAATAAAATGTAAAACATAAAAAAGAAATATGAAGTTTCTTCTCAATTTCTTCCCTCCTTCCTTTCATTCCTTTTCTCTGTTTTTAACTCTTTATTATATTATACATTGTCTGTACATCTTGATAGACTTTACAATATCTCAATTTTCTATTTAACTACTCCATTCTCAATGTCTTAATTTTACTATTTATTTTCATTTCTTATATAACTTCATATTTCTTTTTTATGTTTTACATTTTATTCTAAGATTCCCATTGTAACACTTATGTCACCCTTTTTGATAATGCCTACTTCATCATTCCACACTTTGTAACAGTTATTATTATTTATCTCTTATTGAATATTTAATAGTTGATCTAGGAGTTTCACTTAGAACTCAGTTCTAAGTGAAACTCCTAGAGGAACACACCTCCCTGATGAAGACCTGCAAAGTCGGGTGGAAACGTTGGCTTTCAATAAAATAGTTTTACCACTATTTAGCCTTTTTATGACCGCAACCCCGGACCATCTCCTTCCTTTATTTATCTCTTAGTTCTTAGTCATTATTCTAACAATTTCATTTTACTTTATATTTATTTATTTTATTTTTTTAATTTATTTTATTTATTTATTTATTTTTTACCATCACTACTTATGTTTCTCATACCTTGTTATCTGGTTATTTTTCTTAGCCCTGATGAAGGCCTGAAGTTCAGGTCGAAACGTCGGCATATGTAAAAGTAAATATTATCATTTATTTTTGCCTCCTTTTTCGACTGACCACCCCAACTATTCTTCTCTTCATTATCCACGACAGTCAACCAATTACCAATTATTAGAAAATAAAATTTAGAGTAAAATATAGAGTAAAACAAAAAATAAATTGACAGGCATTTAATCTCCGTTTTTGTATTTTATAAACCATCTTCAACAATTTTTTTTAACCAATTGACAATTTTTTTTAAATTGTCAATTGGGCAGAATATTAAAAACAAAATAGTGGAAACTTCACAATTTACCTATAGAAAAAAATAGAAAAAACTTTTGTTGTATATTTGTCAGCTCTTTTCTCATTTTTCTCAACAAATTTATTATTTTCGCAATACCTTTCCTTAATATTTGTAAGTAATAATAATAAAAGGCTTAGCGAACCCGAAGGTTCGATACCGACACCACCAATCGCTTATTACACACCTCCCTCCATCGTTCGCCGTCCAAACCCAGTCCCTTCAGATCGACTTTCCAAGTCCTCAGAACCAAAAACCCTCCCTACATCCTGGAACTCCTTACTCTACGTTCCTCTATCCACTCTCTTAATACCAGATCTCAACCTATAGATTTATATATCTCCTCCCATAAAACTACTTCTTTCAGAAAATCCTTCGTCATTCTTGCTACTCCCTTTTGGAACTCCTGTTCCACCACCTACTCCACATTCAAACTTCCGTAAACATGTAAAACTCCTTGCCTCTGTATACTGTTTAAGTCAAATCAACAGCATAATTACAATAACAAACAACTGTTAATTAGTTTGTATTTTGTATTATTCTTAAGCGTCTGTAGTCTCAGAATAAAATAATTTTTTCTTTTCGAAATCCACCATGCTAAAAACATTCTTATTTTCAAATATCTTGTCGAAATTAAAAGTTCCCTAGTGTTTTGCCGTTTTTGTGCTTTTTAATTGTTTTTATATATTTTTTCTGCTTGTTATTATGGCACTAAGGTCCTGACAGACGGAGAAGCAGATATGATGAGGAGATGTGGTGTGGTTAGCAGGCGAGGTAATTAGCGCTGCAGGTAGCAAGGAGAAATGTACGAGGTCATTAGGATAGCGATTAATCATCCAGGACTGACGGGGTTGCACAAATATGTTTGCGCGCGAGTTGGTTCGGAATTTAGTTCTTCCCCGCCCCCCCCCTCCCTTGTTTGATGTCTTCTTGCTTATCATTCATATCTAGTCTGCTTGCTACAATGCATTATCAGAAGGCTCTCTACCGAACCTGGAAAATCTATTAATTTCAGGCACTTTTAAAAACTAGACCAAACTCCTAGCTCATATGATTTAGAGTCACGAGCATATAATAATAATAACAGCAGATAATAGCCACAAGGACGTATAGGAAGCATATTTGTGGAGAAAATATAAATGACTTATGCCGTCTATGCAAGAAATCAGTGGAGTCGATTCAACATATAACTTCTGGATGCACAATAATGGCGGGTAAAGAATATTTACTAAGAAATAACAATGCAGCTAAAGTAGTACATCGAGCCATGGCCCAGGAGCTGGAACTGAGGGATAGCTATTCTCTGTATTACAAATATCATCCTGAATCTATCATCTCCAAGCGTAATGTCAAACTATTCTGGGATCACCCAATACATACAGATCACATTGTCTCACACAATAGGCCTGGCATTCTAATAATCGATGAAGAAAAGGAAATAGCGAGAGAAATACTTTATTAAAAGTAATACTGTCCTACTACATAGGGTTGCTTCGTACACAGCATACCTATCAATCCACAAGGACATTAATTTTATATTTCATTTTTCTATTTTTTATACATATATATGTCATATCTTTCCTTTCTTTCTCTCTTTTTCCTCTTCCCCCTCATAACAATACACTTACAAGTTATCAACAATAAAACCATATTAAATAATATACATACATTAAATAATACAAACATTTTTCCAAGACAAAAAAAAAAAAATTATTTCGCTGTTTCTCTCTTTAAATTTTCAAACGCCAGGAACTTATTACAACATCGCACACATACGTAACACAGCAATTTCCAGAATGTAGACAAAAAGACAGGACGACAGCGGATCAATTCAAAATTTAATAAACAGTTATTACCAGATGTCCTCAATCGGTATAAATATGATAGTGGATGATTCCCAGGGAGTCCAAAATAATATTTTCGGCCAATACCGCGAGCTCCCCAACATCAACACCTAGTTCTTCGAGAAAGCTCCTTGTTCTTTCCGGGATCGTTCCGCGAGACCCAAACCAGAGGCCTCTCACGGTGAACTCTCTCTCTCCGAAGGTCTCGCGGAATTTCTCTTTTAGGAAAGGGATGCATTTTTCGTATATATTCCTCTTTATAGAATATGGAATATTCCTCGTATAGAAATTGGAGTTTCTTCAGATGATGTAAAAATGTAAAATGTAGAATTGGCAGAAGAATTAAAACAACTGTATTTTTTAAAGGATAGCCGGATTTTACCTTTAATAATTTCATGTAATGGATTAATATCAGAGTTTCTTTGCGTGAGCTGGACTTGCCGTTTGTGACAATGGAAATAATGCAAATGGCAGTATTGGTGGGAACGGTAAGTATTGTTCGTAAATTTACAAATATAAAATAATTTTGAAAATATCTGAATGTTATATTTGGTTGACCGATTCGGTCCCCAATTGTTACAAACAACCATGTAAAGTGTGAAATAAATAAATAATAATAATAACCTTTATTTGTACATACAATGCGAAAAAAATGGATAGAAAATAGATATGTATAAAATTTTTACATTTTGATTTATACTTAACATTCTTATAAGTACAAAATCAACATTTTAGTTGTTTTGAGTTCAATTTTCCTTCTTTCTTTTTTTTTTTTTTTTTTTTCCTCCTCGTTCTCTTGCAACCACACTAGGTAATGAACCTGTCCCATCCTTTTCCATTCTTTCCTCTCTAATACTACTCTCTTCCAGGCTGCTCCCCCTCAGGTCCTCTTCATCTCCTTGTCCCAGTCTGTCGGCGGGCGTCCTCTCTTCCTCACGTCCTCTCTTGGACACCAATCCATAAACTGCCTGCTTTTCTACCAATCCATTTATTCGCTTTTCTATCTCTTCGTGTTATTCCGAGAACTTATCGCTCCATTCCTCTGACGGTTATCCTCAATTTATATCAAGTCTTCTGGTCAATTACCCATGTTTCACAACCACAGAGTCACGAGTATAATCAGCGAAATAATAATATTAAAGCTTAGCGAACCCGAAGGTTCGATGCCGATACGACTAATCGATATCCACATTCTTCCATCCACCGGGCTCTATCTAATCTTCCCAACTTCGCTTTGGTCTACCCCTCGGACGCCTGCCAGTCGGTACAGCGCATATTAACTTTTTAGAAATTCTTTCGTTGCTAAGCTCCAGCTATTTTTCATGATCATTTTATTCGCCTTTACTCAACTTAATCATTTCAATTATATTAACCGGATACAGTTCGCACAATTCAGCGTTGTGTAACCACCTAAATTCTCCGGTAAATTCATCCCGAATTAATCAGCGAAATATCTTTCTTAAGCTAGAATACTAAATTGTTCGGATTATCAAACAAAACAATGAACACATTGCAAAAAAAATCTGGTGCGCGCATCACACAACTTTCACTTACCGCTTTATTTAGAATATAAATTATTTTCTGGCAATGTTGGATTATAACAAACTGAATTTTTACTTTAGCTAAACTTTAATCTTTACAGCTAACCTGAACAACCCACTAAGGCCACCAGTATTAAGATGTAATACTAACGGAATTTATTATATCGACGGTATACAATAAAAACTACGTAACTCTGTTTTTGTAAAATAAATGCAGTCTCTGAGCTATATGTGCCTAGAGGGATTTGAAAGTACATTTGTATATTTGAACTATAAATCATTATCTTATTTTCAACAATGAACCATTGTAACGATCAAAATCCCACCCAATCAGTGTGAGCGATTGCTAAGGTCCGAAATGTGTCGCACACAAGCGCGTAGCAAACCATTTGCACATAAGTTCGGCTATGTTTCCGGGTCCCTCACATAATTTTTTTTCTTCAAAAATCACAAAAACTGTTATAACTTAAATACGACTTTAGCTATCTACAAGAAATTTAGCAGGAATTTAGGGCCACATAAACTACACAAAATGATGTCAACAGGACAACTAAAAACCTATTAGAAGTTTTTGTTTATTTATTCCTTATGTAGCCATTAAATCAAAAAAAACATTCATACGGCTTTGGAGAGCAAGTATTCAGCTTTTCAACGGATGTAGTAACATCGAATTTAGAGAAGATCCTGAAGAATTATGAATGACCAGAAGGATTTGTTCCACCAAGACAACGCAAGGCCCCACAGCTCATTGGTCACTTGTAATAAATTATTGAGCCTTGAATGGGATCTTTTACCCCAGCTCTCCCTATTCACCAGACTAGCTCCAAGTGACTACCTCTTATCCCAGTCTCTGCAGAACTACACGGATGAAAAGAAATTCCAAAAAGAAGAGGACACCAAAAACCACTTGGATCAGTTTTTTAACAAATAAGTCCAGACATCCTATGCACATTATACAGTTGGTGGAAAGATGGGAAAAATTCATATTAAATAATGGTCAATATAATGTAGATTAAAATAAATTTTATCTCTATAGTACATTGAGATTTATTTCATCCTGAAAAACCGAAAGGACTTATTTGCCAACCCAATACCTTGCTGCACACTAATGTTGAGGCACAAGCGAAAATTAACAAAAAAAAAAAAAAAAAAAATGAAAACAAGAGTTTTGGAACAAGCAATAACAATAAATAAAACCTAACTGCGCAATCAGTGTAGTGAACTAGGGTTCTCAAACATGCCGCAAGGTAGCGCAGAAAATGCCTACACAAAGCACGTTTTGGCAGACTGAACCAACTCAGTGTAGAGGAATCACCACAAATTAAATTTTACCCGTTGTCGTAAAGTTACCCATCCAGTCCCAAAGTTACCCCATTTTACGGTACGTTATATATCTTATAACATGTATTTATTTCTATATTATATATCTGAATATTACATATCTTAGACTTTTTATTTCTGGGCTGTAAATCAGTTTTTCTCATCTCTCTTACTCATGTTTCTCTTCTAAGAAGATATTTGATTTTTTTTTTTTTTTTTTTGTGCTAACGATCTCATGGAAGGTATTGAGTAATTTACCAATTAATTGATATTTTGAAAGTTTTCCTTGTTACTTATTTCTTCAGAATCTGTTTAGAAGTTCCCTCTTGAATATGTTTTTATTTATTTTATAATTAGCTACGTCTTATTAAATCGTTCAAAAGCTCTTTAAATTTTAATTGGGCAATTATATAGAGTAGTTTTCTTTTATGATATTGATTTCCTGAAGAAAATATCTTTAAAATATAATTTGACTATACATTTTAAAATTACATAATTTTACAACTCATTCCAGAATACTACTCGAATTACCTTTGCGAATACTTTCACATTAGGTAGATTCCTATGCATTTAACATATAAGTGTATATATATATCGTGGCTCACAGTGAAATTCGATACACCCCTTAAAAAAATATAAAAAAGACTTCATTGGTTACAGTAAATAAATAAAACCAGAAACTCTTTATCAGAAAAAACTCCACAAATTTATAATCTCATTTTAAATATGTACAAACTCGATTAAATTAAAATAGTTAGCTGTGATGGTAGCAGGGTAAGTCAATCGGAAAATTTATACGGCTACACAACGCCAAATTGCGTGAATTTTTTTTCTCCACTCCATCACCTTTTAGACTATACGCGGTTTTTCCCGGACTCAGGGATGAGGGCGAGGGATTAAAATCTGAGTTAAAAGACCTCCCCCCCTCTAGTACCGGGACGCGTTTATTTTGTTTTTTCTTCTAAGCGTCGATGATCAGGTCCCTGTTCGACGACCCCGCACTACCAAAAAAAAAAAAAAAGTGAACTGTATCCGGTTAATATAATTGAGGTGATTACATTGCTTCGAAGTAATGGGCGTGCAAAATTGTTGGGCATAATACCGAAAGAATCCCTGAAAGCTTATTATGTGCGTGCCGACTGATAAATGTCCGAGGGTTAGACCAAAGCGAAGGTGGGAAGATTGTATTAAAGTTGATGTTGTTGAGTTGGAATTGGATGGTGACCGCTGGAGGGTGGTGTGTGGACAGCAATTGGTGGTGGGGGCATCGAACCTTCGGAGTTGCTAAGCCTTTTATTATTATTATTATTTAATTATAGTTTTAGTGACGTTTTAAATTTTGAAATTGGCATTCCTCTCTGCTCCACGAAATTACCTATAGATGTAGATATGGTTGACCGTTGATATAATATGAGGAGTTGTTGGGGGGAGGGGAGTTCGGTCAAATTAATACTAAATTAAACAAGTAGAATTATTTAATTTTTGCCGACATTTCGACCCACTTTGCAGGTCTTCATCAGGGGTACAAAAGATACAAAACATGGTGAAAATAATATAAATGAATATAACTAGATATAAAACAAGAAAAGTTGTCTGATACAGAAATAAAAAGATGATATCAGAGATATAGTGGGTGAAAACGTAGTTAAAATAATATCTCTGATATCATCTTTTTATTTCTGTATCAGACAACTTTTTCTTGTTTTATATCTACTTATATTCATTTATATTATTTTCACTATGTTTTGTATCTTTTGTAGCCCTGACGAAGACCTGCATAGTGGGTCGAATCGTCGGCAAAATAATTCTTATTAATAATTAAATAATTCTACTTGTTTAATTTAGTATAAATTTGACCGCACCCCCCGATCAACTCCTCATGAAATTACCTATCGTTTGATACCTATTCGATGAAAATACATCAGGCATGTGTACCGGGAAAAATACCTTTACTACAGTATTATAGATTGAAAATTCTGAAAAGTCATATTGTAAGTTTCAAAAAAAAAAAAAAAATGTCGTATATTCCTTTTATTAATAATTTAAAATAAATATTTTTTTTTATATAAATCATTAAAATAAATATAAGGAAATATAAGGAAGGCATCCTTGTGAAAAGATTTCAAAAGGTCTCAGGGAATCGATTTAAATCCTTAAAGGAGCCTTTTCGATAGAAAATCAAAAGACGTCAGGGAACCGTCATAGAAGGTACTTTTTATTTTTGTTTATTCATGTTTTCACCTCGAGTTCGTTGGCATTTAAGTCTTTTGACGTCTTTCAAGATAAATAAAACCTCGTTTAATGGTGCTATTTATTATGTATATTTTTTTAAAAATATTCTTTTGAATCTATAATTGTTAGCGCTATTTCCATTGCAGATTTTATGCTAATTAATAATCTTTGATATTCAATACAATAAAAAGAGAATTTGAATTAAATAGTAAAAAACTAAGGTGTGTGCACACGATAGAATTTTTGTTTGTTTTTTTCCCCCCTACGCCTAAGTAACGCCTGCTTGATCAGCCATGCGTGCTCTTGCAGTCAAATATAATTTTGCTCTCCGAGCATAAGGGCTGTCCATTTCATTAAAGGAACATCTTATGTCCTGTAATGCAGGGCATGTATCAAGTTGTTCTCCTGTCATCATATCTAAGGAACACAGAGAGCATGTCGGGCTAATACGATAGAATTAAAAACATTAACAAGGCAAGATTAATAATATGAAATATCAATTATAAATAATAGCCCATTATAAATAATAATTATGAATTATAAATAATAATTATAAAGAGGAACATTAGAACATGCCATTAGGGAGGTAATGCGAACCGAGAAAGGGTTGAATCTGGGCGGGACAACATCCGTGCTGGGCTATGCTGGTGATCTGGTACTGTTAAGCGAAGACGTTGAAACTATAAAACTAAATACGACAACGTTAATGAAAGCTGGTAAAGAACTAGGACTCAATATAAACGTGGATAAAACAAAATATATGGTTAGCTGCAAAAATGGCGATACTACTGGTGATATCGATATAGATGTTAATATGTTTGAACAGGTAGATACATTTAGGTATCTAGGTTCTACGATAACTAGAAAAAACGAAATTGAAGAAGAAATTAAGGTTAGACTGAAGGCGGGGAATGCTTGTTATTTTTCTGTGACAAAACTACTTAGTTCGCGCCTCTTGTCCCGAAACTTAAAAATTAGAATCTATAAAACAATGATC